GAGCTGCTCAAAGACTCTATGCAGAGCGATATCCCAATCGTCGACATCCGGGTCGTGAAGTATTCGCCCGGACCCATAGAGAAATATATGAAGGTAAGTGATTTTTACACCTTTTTTGTTTGCTTGCTTGTTAACTATCATTTTTCACTTTTTTAAAGTCGCATACCTGGAAGGCGTGGCGGCGAAACATGACGTCCTGCAACGGTAGGGCGTTACTGGCCTTCTTCTCTCTTTCTTCAACATTGTGCATTCACAACTGCTTACTATCGAAGACTACTCCCAAATACTTTGTGTGGTCTTTAATTGAGAGCTCCACACTTGTGACTAAACCACTGATCCAAACTTCGTTGTGCTGATGAAGCATGTAAAACTATGGGACGAGTGGCCTGTGCAAAATGTGATGTGGGTTTATGTTTGAAATGTTTCGCTACTTTTCATACTAAAAATTAACTTCTTCATCCGCTTTGTACGTAGAGTATGCATATATTATCAATAAATGTAGTAAAACTTATAAATAATGTTTCTATTATTTCACATTTTAACCAAATACTGCCCTTTAACAATCTATCTGGAATACGCCCCGTGTTGCCATATGGCAACGGCCGATATCGGGAGAACTATACTACTCCCAAAGTTTTAGTCATATTTTTTCCTTTACTTTAACGCTACTTTGACCCTGTATTTAGATGAAACCAAAAAAATCTATAAAAAATTAATCTGTGACAATTTGGGTTAAGGCCACCACCAACATCACCTTCAACGCCGGCACCAGCAATGTTAAACACATCCACATAAGTGATCCTCTGCAATAACGACACAATTCAACATACAAAAAATAAAAACTGTTACTACTGTTAAGTGGCTCTTGTCTGTAATCCTGGTCTAATCCATTCCCAACCTTTACTAAAGTAAGCAGTAAGGATTGCTAAAGTAAGTACTAAATATTAGACATGGATTCGACATGGATTAGATATATTAGCCACTTAACAGTACTAAGGGGTTTATTTTGTGAATTTTGAATTGTGTCGTTATTGCACATGACCATCGATATGTACAAAGTATGTTATTTGTTTGTACATATGTACTATAAGAGTTTTGCATTAATGAACGTTTTTTAAATAAACCAATTCATTTTTAAAAGTAAACATTTTGATTTTCTACTTATTTGTTTCTTCCTGTACTGAGGTATTTATAACGACAAAAATTAGTCTTCTTCTTCGCTGTAACCGCCTAAGCGATTTTGGCCGAGTTCAGCAAAGCACGCCAGTCGTTTCTCCTCTGTGCCAACTGACACCAATTGGAAACGCCAAGTGTAGCCAAGTCCTTCTCCACCTGATCTTTCCATCACAGTGGGGGCCTCCTTCTTCATCTGCTACCACCAGCGGGTTCCGAGTTGAATACTTTCAGAGATGGAGAGTCGGTGTCCATTCGAATGACATGACCAAGCCAGCGGAGCCGCTGTATTTTAATTCGCCGCACTATGTCCATATCGTTGTAAAGCTCATACAGCTCATCGTTCCATCGTCTGCGGTACTCGTCATCGCCAGCACGTAAAGGCCCGAAAATCTTCCGCAAAATCTTTCTCTCAAATACTCCAAGAGCCGCCTCATCGGATGTTGTCATTGTCCATGCTTCTGCGCCATATACCAGCACGGGCATGATGAGTGACTTATAGAGCGTGGTCTTCGTACGTCGAGAGAGGACTTTACTCCTGAATTGCCTACTCAGTCCAAAGTAGCACTTGTTGGCAAGAGTGATTCTGCGTTGGATTTCAATGCTGACATTATTATCGGTGTTAATGCTGGTTTCCAAGTAAATGAAATTTTCTACTTTCTCGAAATTGTAACTGTCAACAGTGACGTGGGTGCCAAGGCGCGAATGTGCTGACTGTTTGTTTGATGACAGGAAATACTTCGTCTTGTCCTCGTTTACCACCAGACCCATTCGCTTTGCTTCCCTATCCAACTTGGAAAAGGCAGAACAGACTTCGCGGTTTTTGTTACCGATGATGTCGATGTCATCGGCATAAGCCAGCAATTGCACGCTCTTGTAGCAAATTGTTCCTGAGCGGTTCAATTCTGCAGCTCTTATTATCTTCTCCAACATCAGATTAAAGAAGTCACATGAAAGGGAGTCGCCTTGTCTGAAACCCCGTTTTGTGCCGAACGGCTCGGAGAGGTCTTTCCCAATTCTGATGGAGCTGGTGGTATTGCTATTGTTGTATTGGCCGATATACAACACATCTCGGGTAAGGACAACGTGATAGCCGATTTGCTCTCCCGAGTCGAATCAATAGACAACTGCGACCAAATTAGCTTCGAATAGTTAGCCGAAAGTCAGAAGACCGATATGGAACTGACAGTGTTGTTGACAAACAAAAATTCTACACTGGAATTCAAACGAATCAATTTACCGAACTCAACCATGGCTACCCCCTGCGATATCTCAACTAGACGTGCACGACCATTCATTACTAAAGAGTTTCATCGTCGGGTATTCAACTCAGTTCATAATTTGGCGCATCCAGGCATAAAAGCGAACATTAAACAAATCAGTGAGCGGTTCGTTTAGCCGGATATGAAAAAGGATATCGCAAAAATAGTGAAAACATGTATCCCCTGCCAAAAGTCAAAAGTCATTCAGCACAATAAATCGGCTATTGAAAACTTCAAAGTGCCAGACCTGCGTTTTTCCTGGATCCATATTGATCTGATAGGCCCGTTTCCAGTTTCAAACGGCTTTCGGTATTGCCTAACTTGCATCGACCGGTTCAGCCGTTGGCCAGTAGCGATTCCCATCGAGGACATAAATGCAGACACTATTGCGAAAGCCCTGCTCAACGGCTGGATAACACAGTTTGGAGTAACTGCTCAAATCACTACCGATCAAGGTAAGAAATTTGAAGCAAATCTTTTCAATGAACTAGAGCAGATGATCGGGAGCAAGCACTTGCGGTCTAGCCCACGGCACACGCAGGCAAAGGGGTTAATTGAGCGTTTTCACCGAACCATGGAGACAGCGCTCAAGTGTCAAAACAATGAACGCTGGTCAGATGCTTTACCGCTTATTATGCTTGCGATGCGAAACATTTACAAGGAAGAAATCGGAAATGGTCTACGATACCACGACGAATTCAACACCGAATTTATTCAGCAGCTTCGGGAATTGATGAACAACATTAAGCCAGTTCCAACCTCCAATCATTCAAACAACAAGATTTTCGTCCAAAAGGATTTACGATCTTGCACGCATGTAGTTTTACGCGACGATGCGGTAAGACCACCTCTAAAAGCACCCTACGATGGACCTTATAAGGTAATAAGCCGCAGCGACAAGATACTCAAGATACAAGTCAAAAGTCGTGCAGTTCGCGTAAGTGTAGACCGACTAAAACCAGCCTTTTTGCCCGTCGACGAGGTACCTACGGCCGAAGATTCGGAAGCAACAGGCAAAAGCCACCCACACAGCAGCGATACAGATGCAACGAAAAACGCAGTTAAAAAAGCGGCAAGGGGAAGAATAGTCCATTTTCCAAAAAAACTTATTTCCTTCGTTCCGTAGTGACATCCTACACAGCTCCAAGGAAGTATGCAGCCAATACCTGAAGATGCAACCCTGTTGATGAAGAAATACACTTCGATACTTTTTGCCTTTTTTGATTCTTTCCTGTTTCGATATTGTACGCACACCGACAAGAGGTACTTTTCTTGTAAATAATTGAAATTGTTTTAATAAATTGAAAACATAATCCACAACAGCAAGAAAAACATTACTGGAATCGTATTGGATGCTATGAAGAACTTAGGTTGTTCGCTGAGACTGCTTATAAGGGTGGTGATGTTACTGCGGTGAATGAATATTTGTTGGTCGTGGCCGTCGAGAGTTTCGATAGTCACAACCATCGATAGTATCGATACTATCGAAAATGTCTACACTATCGATAGTACTATCGATAGTTTTGATTAAAAAAGTCCAAGAATTAAACATAACAACTTTTATTGAAAATGAGATCAGTCAGCTGAAATATAGCCATATTTTTGTTAATCTGAGCATCTGCGCTATGAAATTATTTGCCCTGCTTTGGTAAATGTCCCTTCCGATTTACAAGACGAAGCTTTTGCTCCATACAAATAATGTGTGTATGAGTGAAACGATAGTGCTTACAAAACCATCATTGTTTTCGATAGTCAAAAACCATCGATACTATCGGTAGTGCCGAGCTGGTCATGTATCATAAGTTATGCTTCAATTGTCTAAGGCAACGACATATGTAACGGGTGTGTCCGTCCGAGGGGCTTTGCACAGTTCGCAAAGCAAAGCACAACACATTATTGCTTGGTGTATTTTGTAATAAGACAGAACCTAATGTGGCATAAAAAGGAGTGTCGCAAAGTAATACAGCCGATTCGAGTACAACGAATGTAGCTACCTCTATAACAGCCAATAACACATGTACTGGAAACACGCCTAACCATTCACCAGCTTCTTTGCCGTCAGTGCTGTTGGCCACGGCGTTTGTGGAAGCACGTATTCTGAATGGACACAGACAAATCTTCCGAGCATTAATCGATAACGGAGCCGAATCTACATTCATTAGTGAGTTTGCAGCACGACAGCTGCAGTTACTACGTACAGTAGTTAACATCCCGTTCAGCGGTGCAACTAGTACGAGCGTGGCTTGTGCGAAGGCATTGCCCAAAGTAACTATTCGATCACATAAATATGATTTTGAGACGGAGTGTATCGCCTTGGTACTTCCAAGGTTAGGGAACATTACACATAGTAAGCATATCCCGAATACCGGATTCCTATAAATGGGCCAGTTAAAGTTAGCTGATCCCAGGTGGTACCAACCCGGTGCTATTGACAACATCATGAGTGTGGCAGACTACGCCATTATAATATGCAGCGAGGTTAAACAAAGCGCTACTAATGGAATGGTGGCACAGCATACGCAACTAGGCTAGATCATCTTTGGTGGGATAACTGATTATAAGAGTATGACTGGTGCTCACAAAGCCCAGTGCTACAACACACACATCGACTTGGAGCATACCTTGCGTCTTTTTTGGGAACCTGAGGAACTCAACGAGCGTCAAACCATGACGGAAGATGAAGTATACTGCGAAAACCTGTTCAAGCAAACTACAAGGCGTAACAGTCTAGGCCGATACATCGTAAAAATCCCTGGTCGAAAGGGCGCTGACCTTCAACAGCTTGCATCTAGAAAGCAAGATGCGCTATTATTGTTAGAACATACACATCGAGGGCTTGCTCGCGAACCTAAACTTAAAACATTTTATAAAAAGTGTATGACAAACCACAACAATGATAGTCACATGTGCTATTTACCACACCACGGTGTGTCGAAAGCTTCGAGCACTACTACAATACTTCGCGTGGTATTCAATGCCGCACGGAAATACTCCACTGGGGTATCGCTGAACGACTGTCTGTACAATGGGCCAAAGATGCAGAATGATTTGGCCAATATTTTGCTGAATTGGCGACAATACAAATTTTCATTTACGGGTGACATCGAGAAAATCTACGGGCAGATTTTGGTGGATCGCGAATGCAGCACTTCAACGAATCTATTGGCGTACTTCTACAGAGGATTCACCCACCTGCTATATGCTAATGACCGTAACGTATGGGACTAATTGTGCGCCATACTTGGCACTTAAATTCTTACGACGTCTCGCAAATGATGAATTCCCTCAAACGGCAAAATCACTCGAAACTGAATTTTACGTATATGACGTCTTATCCGGAGGCGACACACACGATGACGTTATCAACAATATGCATCAATTAAAATCGCTGCTACAGGTCGTCGGTTTTAGTTTGCGCAAGTTCAACTCCAACGCTATTGAGGTCTTGAACGCTATTGAGCCATGTGATGGTGATCCATCGTACACATTGGAGTTAGGCATGAGCGACCAGACCAAGGCTTTGGGAATAGGTTGGCTTACTCGTACTGATATGCTAGCGTATAGCATTGATTTGGATTACAGCATTACGTGCTTCAACAAACCTCAATTGACGAGTGATGTTGCTAGAGTATTCGATCCGTTGGGACTCGTGGCTCCTGTAACCATAACCGGAAGTTAGATTGGGGTAAGATCCTACCCCAAAATATTCAGCGTCAATGGACAGTTTATCGAAATGAATTACAACAACTTCAAAACTTGCATATCCCGCGTTGGATTAAAGTAGCCGTGAACTGCACCGTGGAACTACAGGCATTCTCTGATGCCTCTAGCGCAGTGTACGCTGCTGCAATCTACATAAAAGAAACAACTGAGAGTTATAATTCGGGCAATTTGATAATGGCGAAAACGAAAGTGGTAACTTTAAATCGACTGTCAATTCCACGACTGGAATTGTGTGGTGCTCGTCTCGCTGCGGTTCTCTTGGCAAAAACCAAAGATGCATTATCGTTCAAAGTTGATCGATGGCTACTGTGAACGGACTCCGTAGCTGCGCTTTGTTGGATCCGATCGTTACCAGGCAAATTGAAGCAATTTGTTTCGAACCGTATCACGCACATTCAGAGCGTCGCTTCCGACGTAGCCTGGCGCTATATTTCAACGAAAGACAATCCGGAAGATTCGGCTTCGGGAGGTATTTCGGCCAACAATTTACTGTCAAACGCACTATGGTGGAACGGGCCAGTATGGCTTTCCTTGAATGAACAATACGGGCCTCAACATAAAATAATTTTTCCGGAAAATATTCCAGAAACCACAGAAGTCACTGTTTGTACAGTACAACTTAATAATCAAGACTTGTTGTATACAATTACTACAAAATATCCGAGCCTCGACAAACTCATTGCTATAATTGGATGGTGCTTACGGTTTTCAAATAAGTGCCGAAACAAATGGAGTGTTTTGGCATCGTTTTGCAGCTGGTAAGAATGGTACAAAGCGCTAAAGATACTCAGTAAGATGACGCAACAAGATGAATTTAAGCATGAAATGTTACAAACAGCAAAAAGAACTTAAAAAAAAGTAAGCTAAGAAAGCTGAAATTAATACTGGATTCTGAAAGAATTATGCGTCTACGCGGGCGATTGCAGCAAGCAGATATGCCGTTCAACGAAAGATGCCCTATTTTCATGCCCACACGGCATCCTATCACGTCTTTAATTGTGCACCATTCTCATTATCGGTGTCTTCAAGGCGGTACGCAAGCAACACTAAGTTATGTAAGACGCCAGTTCTGGGTTATCGATCGGCGTACGGAAGTGAAACGCGTAATACGCAGCTGTGTCAAATGTTATCGACATACTTGCACCCCACACAACCAAATGATGGGCGATCTTTAAGCAGCACATTACACTGTAACATTCCCGTTCATGTACACTGGCGACCATTCAACGTACGAGCAACCAAAGGGCAGGGACACAAGGTATAAAGGTTACGTAGCATTGTTAATTTGTTTGGCCAGTAAAGGCATTCATTCTTAAGTTGGTAAGCGATATGACAACTCAATCATTTATTCATGCATTAGAACGTTTTTTATATGCACGGGGAATCTGCTCAGACATGTATCTCAACAGAGGTCTACATTTGTTGGTGCTGACGCGCTCATGAAAGAAGAACTTGAAGAATTTCGGAAGCAGTTAGACGCCGCGGCTAGCTATGCCTCACGGACTGGTATAAACTGGCACGTCATACCCCCAGTAGCTCCAAACTTTGGCGGGCTTTGGGAAGCCAGCGTTAAAAGCATGAAAGCCTCGCTAAAACGCACAATCAACACTACAACATTCCCCTTTGAAGAATTTTACACAGTGCTCAAGCGAGTCGAATCGTGTCTAAACTCTTGACCTCTTGCTGCACTCACAGATGATCCTACGGATTTCGCTGTGTTGACACCAGGGCACATGCTAATTGGGCGCGCTATTACCAGCGTGCCAGAACCTAATCTTCTCGATAAAAAGAGTGGTCTTTTGTGCCGCTGGAAACAACTTAGCCGGATGTATCAAGCCTTCTGGCACAGATGGTCTGTAGAGTATTTACATCATTTGCAAGTTCACTCCAAATGGCATAAAGAACAACCAAATGTCAAGGATGGCGAACTTGTGTTTTTGTCAGTGCCACCAGTGTCACCAGTGTCGCCAGTGTCACCAGTTTCCCCAGTGTCACCAGTGTTGCCAGTGTCACCAGTTTCCCCAGTGTCACAAGTGTCGTCAGGTTCGCCAGTGTCACCAGTGTCGCAAGTGTGGCCGTATTGTTTTATATAGAAAAGCGCCGCAGGCGAAAATCTTTTTACTAAATATTAAAATATTGTTTTATATCCGTAGTAAAAATAAATTTCTAAAAACGCTATCTAAATCTGAATGATTTATTCAAATATTTAAGACTGAATTCAATTCCATTGAATCATATAATTTTTCGAATACAGAATAAAGCGACAAAGGATGATAATATTCTTCGTATTAAATAAATAAAATAAAACATATAAAAATTAACAAGTAATTTTTTAGTAAAAAACAAAACCGACTTCAATTCTCATATAAAAATTTAAGATTATCGTTAATTTCTTCATGATCCGATGATCAGATTTAAACCAAATTAATATGGGACTATCTGTGAGGTAATACCTTTCCTTTAAAAATAATAATTAAAGAAATCGGTTAACGTGGTCCAAAGTTATGCAGTAAAACACATAAAAAGTATTCCGACGAATCGATAACATCCTCCTTTTTGCGAAGTCGGTTAAAACAAGATTATTTCTGGAAAATGATAAAAACATAGCAACTTGATACCAACATTACCCTGCAGAAAAATTTAGAGACAGACTGGCAAAGCGCTAGTTCCGCCTTACAAATTTCAGAGCTGTCTCTGAACTACTGCAAAAGGGATGCAGAGCGGGACGGATGAAACTCGTATGTTGCTAGTTGCGCTGTCATCAATGTTACTCATCCCGGTCATGCAAAAGCTGACAAAAGATGCACAAATGTACTATACTATATTTTTTAGATTTTCTTAGACCGTAAAACTAATAGCAAACTTTTTTCGTTTATTTAATATGTAATAGTTTATGGGGCAAAAATATATATTTATGGGCTAATATATTTCCAAAAAAGTCGATATTGGTACCATTAATGTCATTTTTATACATGGGCGATTCCACCGTCACGGGTGGGACATTTGAGCAGAAACAAGGTTCTTTCTTAAATTTAAGTATAAAGTACTCAATAATTCTACATTTTGATAAAGCTACATCTAATTTACTATTATTTATACGAGTTATTACGAAATACGAAAATTTCAGCTTACTTTTATATGGAAAAGATCTGAGTTATTTCCTCTGTCACGGGTGGGACCGAAAAAACCTGCTTTTTGGAGCAGATATATTTTACGGAAACTCTGCGAATATTTTCACTTTTCTGTGAGAACTTGATGTCTTATAATAAAACAAAGAGCCACGAATACAAATAAATTAAAAACTACAACAAAAA